ATGTGCTCAGAAAGAAGCCCAGCTTGCCTACTGCTTTGGTTAAACAGTATTTTAGTGATAGTCTTTAATAAAGAAGGAATTCTGCAACAATGATGACTGCTCTTCACCATCGTATCCACAAGCAAGATTTGGAGAGAGGACAGAAGCTCAAGATGATTTTCACTTGCGAGTCAGAATTCTTCAGACCTGCATGGGAGAAAGGAGATTGGCATCAGTCGCTCTGTTCGCACCTTCAGCTGTCATTATTTTAAGGAAAAAAAAAGTGTTTTCCACAAGGGAAGTCCCAACTGCAGTCAGAGACTCCAGACTTCAGCCAAGTCACCAATGTCCCACCTCCAACCATCGGTGACCTTCATGCCAACATCCCGCCAAAGCCCCTGCACGCCACGCTGCTGCGTGGGCACAGCACACTCCAGACCCTGCCCTGGGGCCATGTTTCCATCCCCGCTTCCCAGAAGCAAGTGACAAACCAAAGGAGCAGCTGTGTAACACCTCAAGCAGCAGTTAGAAGCAAACACTCAAGCACTTGCAGCAACTCTCCTAAATATCCTTCCAATCCAAGCATTTTTGTCTCTGGGGGATCTCGAACCTTTCCCCAGCCCCCAGACATCACACATCAGCTTTTCTGCTACAAATTCAGAGCCTATCTTCTGCACAGTCAACTGACCTCCATCTTCTCTTGGCCCTAGAGGCCTAACACCCCTCCCAGCCTTTGCTGCTCCACCGCAAGGAAGGGCTGGAGATCTTTGAAGGGAGAGCAGCGTTAGACAGCTACAAGGACTCGGGTCCATCGCATCTTCCCAGCAGGAAACACCCAAAGCAGTTTTTCTGATTTACAAAGTTTGTTGAACTTGTGGAGGGCATTTCAAGCGAGGTCTTGCCAAGGCTTGTCCCGGGCGCAGTTAGTAATTATCCAGCCTCTACTGAGGTGTTCCAGCCAGCATTACAGCTCTGTCAGCTGTGACACGCATCTTTAGTTTTCTTTTCCCTTTCAAGGGTTAAGATAGCATTTACCTGACTGCAAAATCCAGAGCAGTTACGCCCAGATAGTTTGAAGAATCCAGAGCACTCAGGCTCTGAGACACCGGTGAACCAAGGCTGCTTCTGGTCTGGCAGCAAGGCACTGATCTACGCCCCATAAACCCCACACTCTGCCCAGCCAGCACGCTGCCTGCCACAGGACTAACCAGCCTGCTTCCCCACTGAGTCACCAGGATTTCCAGGTAATGCAGCTTCCTCCTCACCAGCAGAGGACAGCACCACAGGGTCTGGAGGAGCACTACAGGACACGTGACAACGCTGAATGGTATCCGGCAGACAGGCGAGGAACTTTTGCTCCAAAGGGCTCCTTTCTTGCGAGCAAAGGAGACTCTTGTAGGCAAGGCATGGCCAAGAACTGGCCAAAATGGTAGGTAGAAGGGGTGTGGGAACAGCCCCGCTCCCAACCAGCGGGAACACTATAGATACAGTTTTGGGTTTTGTTTTTCTTTTTGGTGTTTGCTTTTGTTCCTCAGCTCTGCAAGCTACAGACTTCCCCCCACAGGAAGCAGTCCACATTCCCCTTAGCAGCACAGCATGGAGTATCAGCACAACTCACCATGATTATTCCAGACACGACTTAGAAGTCTTCATCTGCAAGAAAAAAGGGGAGAGTGTTAGGCTTTGGGCAAACAGCATCCCCCCTCACCCATTGCCACAAGCCCACCCCTGCTGGCAACAGCCCTGGTGCAGTGACCCAAAAGCTGCCCCAGCTTGGCTGTGTCCTTGCTGCAGGAGGCTGGGTCCCCACCGCTATATACTTCTTTACATTCACCAAATATAAAGCCAAAAAAAAAAAAAAAAAAAAGCACCGCATGACCCATCTCTTTCTAGACAGGTTCACCTAGGAAGAGATCAGAGCGCTCCGTTAAGAGTCATTAGATACAGCATAACCAAATACCTACAGATAGTAACACCATGGCACACCTTCCCTGCCCACTACTAACAAACTCTTTCATGGCTATGTATACACAGCCTTTTCAGCAGCCCAGCCAAAACCCATTTTCCCTCTATAGCACAAGACCTTCAAAATCCACCCCATTCTATAAGCACCGTGTTTCCCAAGAAGGTAAACAAGGACACCAGGCTATAAATTAACAAGCTCTGGCTCCTGCATGTGAGCAGCGGCAAAGCTTGAAGAGGAAGGCACACCATACCCCATCGGAACGACTGCGGCTCTCTGAAGGTGGAATGGGCCACCCTGCAAACGTAGATGTCACCCTTCCGGGGGGTGAAGGGCGCGTACACCAGGCGCTGGAAATACCACTTGTCGTTGAAGGACATGTCTGCGTACTTCACGCCGCTCATGGGCTCCCCGTTCTTGAGGAGGGTAATCTCGATCTGTGGCGGGGGGAAGCCGCTGACGAAGCAGTTGAGGGTGTTCTCCTCTCCGGGCGCGACGCGTTTGCGGGAGTACACCTCCACCTTCGGCGCCTCTGGGGAATAAGGGGGTTGTGA